TATATACATATAATTATATACATATAATTATACATATATTATTATACATATAATTATATATAATATACATATAATTATATACATATAATTATACATATAATATATACATATATATATAATTATATACATATAATTATACATATAATTATATATATAATATACATATAATTATATATATTATATACATATAATTATATATATATAATTATATACATATAATTATATACATATACATTATATATATAATTATATACATATAATTATATACATATATATATACATATAATTATATATATAATTATACATATAATTATACATATAATTATACATATAATATACATATAATTATATACATATATTAATATATATATATATAATTATATATATATAATTATACATATAATTATATACATATAATTATACATATAATTATATACATATAATTATACATATAATTATATACATATAATTATATACATATAATATTCACTTGCAAGTGGAAAGAAGAAAAGTTTACAAATAAATCTCTGGATGTAGCAGATGATTTAGAAGTTTGTAAATCCATAAAAAAGTAATTCCTTGACTTAGTATATCAAAAGTATTTTTATTTTTTAGCATCTCAAGTGTTTCTAAATACTTTCTGAAGTGTATGTTTCATAAATGTAAGGCATTTAATAAAGAATAACTTGAATAATTTATTGAAATATTAGAAAAGCTTGATCTACATGGAAAGGATATATAAATAATCCATAATTTGTATACAATTTGACAATGAATTAAGTGAAGCTGCCAAAATAGAGGAGTGTGACAAGGATATGTTTTCTCCCCAGATTTCTTTTAACCTGTACAGTGAGATGTTTCCAGAGGACCTACTGTGATTTATTATTATCAATGAACATAATTTTAGCAAAATATGCTAATCAGATGACATTGTATTGATGGCAAATCTGGAAGGGGAAAGTGAAAGAATTATTAGTCAATGTAGTCAAAGGAAAATGACTATTTATGATCAAGGGCAGCCTGAAAAGCTGAAACATTTAGAAGCAGAATGGCTTGACAAAGTAAAGAGCTAAGAATCAGTGTCTACATAATTTTAGATTTCTTTTCTTAATGTTATGCCCCCTTTAGGATGTCAGTGGTTATGACTTTCCACAGCTTCTCTTTTCTCCCTATCTGTCAATTGCATATAGCCATGATTATTCTTAGGGAAGATAGCAGAATGGTTTCCCGTGACTTTCTGTATGTTTTAGAATTGGCTTCTCTTAGACCAGTGGGTCTCAACCAGTGTCCATATAAATCCTGGGGGTCCATGTAACATTTCTGGGGTCCATACAAAAAAAAAAATAAAATAAAAAAAAATAGCAAATTAGCAGTCTACAGTAATGTTTTAATTTCTACAGTAATCTACACCATATTAAAATACTAAAAATAGAAAAACAACTCTAAAATTATCACAAAACAAGACCAAGCAATGTAAGTTAGTGTGCCTTTTACTCTACTGGATGTTTTGATCGTAAAAGTTGAATAAAACTGAAAAGGATATATAATGGAAGGATTATATATATATATATATATATATATATATATATATTATAAATTAATTGATTTAAAATATGCTTTTTTTTCGCTACACAGTTCCAACCATGTTTCAAAAATAGAAGCTAAAAACCCCGAATTTAATTTTGCAATTAAATTAAAAGCATTAGTTCCATTTCATCTTCAAGCGAATGTTGGAGTAACTTTTAAAAATTACCGGGTTTTAAAGACACAGCTAAAATCACGTTTCCATGGTTACAGAATATCTCGTCTGTCTTTTTTTGTATTCCTCTATTATTGCGAGTCCTGATTACACTGAGTATATCTGTACTACCAGGCCAAGGGATTAAACTCACAATTACTATGTCACCAAATTCACTAACCAAAGCTTTAATTTTTTTTTTTGTGCCAAAGATCCGAATCAGTAATTTGTATAAAATATAAGGTTCGTATCGTTATAACTTTTGACGAGTTATCTCCCTTGGATGTTAAAACACACTGTAAAAGTTATCTCCCATAGACCAGTTTATCCAAATTTGTGTAAGTGTTTTTGTCAATATACTTTGTCTCATTCTTATGATGACAAGAATAGAGTTAATATTTCTTAATAACGAACACTAGGATTAATTTATAATTTAAATACTGATTCTATATATTTCTCTCTATAATTAATTTCGCTTTTAATGGTTCTTGTAGAAGATCATAGTTTTTAGTGAAACTAGGAATTAAAAGATGACAAAATTTAACTTCAATCAATAACAATGTTATTGAACTGCAACATTTGTCTAAAATCATTACTGCCATTAATTTTCAAAGTAAATCATAAAACTTCATTTTCTGTTTTTTTTTTCTTTTCTCAACAATTCACTTCTAAAACTTTTATATATGTCCTGTATTACTGTATCAGAAGTAATATAATAAGAGGTCAACTTGGAGTTTTGTGATTTCATACTCACCAGGAACCAGACAAGAATGATTGTATTGATTACAAGTCATATTACTATTATGTCTTACATACGAAAGAAGTCTATCAGTCTTATTTCAGAAAATAAGTACAAATGAAAAAAAAATGCATATTTAAAATGAATGCAAAAAATGTCTACTGTAGGATATCAAAAAAAATGTTCCTTTTATAAGAGGCTCAGTTAAAAAGAATGTAGACTCAAGAACCTTTAAAAGTTAGTACCCTCTCGACCCACCATCATCACTTTGAATATCTGATTTAACCCCAGCCTCTCACTTTTAATATTTAATTTCATCAAATTCTATACCCACCCACTCCGGCCCCACTGCCAACTGTTATGTTGTGGCACCTAGCTTGTTATTATATATATGTAAATTTAATGGGGAGGGTGTTGAAACTAATTTCCTCACCTTTGTAGTTTAGTCTTCTCACAAACTTACAGTCATCTATCATCCAGTGGATAGTATTCTCTGAACAAGATTTGACAATATTCTGGAACAAAACAGACACTCTGGGAAGGCTAGAGAGTATACAGCTGAAATAAATCTGGTTAAAATATTAAAGATGAGAAAATTAATTCAAATTAACCTACATACAATGATTAAAATATCAACATTTAGACAAGAAATATATGTTTATATGAATGTAACATATACTTTAAATAAGGAAGATTTAGGCAGCAAGATTTCTTTTAAAATAGTTTTGTTAATACCAACAAGGTCTGTGTATCCATTTTTTTTAAAGTTTTTCCAACTTCCAAGTTGTTTTATGTCAGAATTAAAATTGTTAAACTTTCCAAAGTGCATTTTTTTAATCCAAGTATTTTCAACTGTCATTATCAAGAATTAGCAATCCACAATATCAGTCATTATTTTCAATTATTATCAGTCATTATCAATCATCATTATCAGTCATTATCAGTCATCATTGGTCATCATTATCAGTCATTATTATCACTCATTATCAAGAATTATCAGTCATCATTATGTCATTATCAAGAATTATCAATTATTATCAATCATTATCAGTCATAATTATCTGTCATCATTATGAGTCATTATCAGTCATCATTATGAGTCATTGTCAATCATCATTATCAGTTATTATTAGTCATCACTATCAGTCATTATCAGTCATCATTATCATAAATTATCATTCATTATTGGTCATTATCAAGAATTATCAGTCATCATTATCAGTTATTATCAAGAATTATCAATCATCAATCATTATTATCAGTCATTATTAGTCATCATTATCAGTCATTATCTGTCATCATTATCAAGAATTATCAGTCATCATTATCAGGCATTATCAAGAATTATCAGTTAACATTATCATTCATTATCAAAAATTATGTTTGGTTAATTTAACTGTAGTGATAGTTAAAAGTACATGGAATAAAAAATTTAACTTTAAAAGTTTACCAATTTTAACATATATATGATATAAAACCACTTAGTAGGAGAACCTAATAAAAATTGGACAGATGGACCTTGTCAGTATTTACATTGTTCAAACTGTTGTCCTCGTCTTTATTGTCATATTCACAACATTTCAGCTGTTGTATGCTACAGACTTCTTCAGGTAATTGGAATTTAAAATTGAACTCTTTATTTCATCCACCAGGGTAGATTGTTCTAGTTCCATGTGCCATGCCATGCTATGCCATGTTCCAATCACCTGAAGAAGGCCAGAGCATACAACGGATGAAATGTTGTGAATATAACAATAAAGATAAGGACAAAAGTCTGAACAATGTAAATAATGTAAATAATTACAATACCACATCTCAGAAATATTTAACAGATCTTGTTCGTATTGTTTAAAAAAGGTTTGTTTAAAATATAACATATACATATATGTTCATGTATGCTTCTAGATTAAAAAAAAAAATCAGTTCACCCCAAGCAAAACAATAAAGCCACTAAGATAGAAGGAGTTACTGAATGTGAATAAATTTAAGAAAAAGAAAAATGATATTAACCCTTTGTGCACTGTGTTCTGCCTGAGCTAATGAGTTAAAATTCAGAAATATTAGGTACGTAATATTTCATGGTAGATATAAAAATAGTTACAAGTCTTTACACAATGGCTGGGCATTAAGTCATTTTTCTTTACTATTGTTCAAACCAGTAAAGCGGCAGTAAGGGATCAAAGGTTTAAGGAGAGAGAGAGAGCAATAAAAAACCAGAAATTAAGAAGACAGAAGATAATGATTGGCATTGCATTTAAATTTTTGAAGATCAAAGTTGACCGGAAAGCAAGAGGCTGGGAGAGAGTCTCTGATAACAATGTAAAGGTTATATAATGTAAAACAATTTTTATTCTACTATGTTTTTTTAATAAATGACAGTTTACAAGGAATAACAATGGAAGATGAAAATGGTCAGGAGAATGGAAAGTAGCAGCAGACTTTAGTTCTGTACTTGTCTTTCCTATTGTAGCAACAAGCCAGTGGCCAGACTTAGTGTTATGGAATGAAAATGTCAAAAAACACAGTTGTTGGAACTGACAGTCCCTTGGGAAGACAATTTGGAACAGGCAGAGCAAAGAAAAGCTGAGAGATATGAAGACCTGGTAGACAAATGTGAAGAATGTGGATGGAAGATTGAATTCTATCATCTAGACTTGGGATGTGGTTTTATTGGAAAAGATGTTGCCAATGTGTTCAGAAGACAATTTGGCTACAACAAGGAGATAAAAAGTATGGTAGCAGGTCTTTAGAAGACAGTGGAAAAAGCATAACTCTTTATCTGGTTAAAGTGTGATGATGACAGTTGGTTGGAAAACAGTTGTTGGTGGGAAAGATCTGATAGCACCAATCCAGAAGAAGACTTCATAATGGAGGATCCCTGCCATAGTAAAATGCCATAGAGGAAAAGGGGCTGAAACAGGCTGTTATGGTTCCTCCTGATGACTGATTTTGGATTGGATCCAGAAATGGAGCTGCTAACTGGTTAGCAAGACCTTGTTTATTTTTTCAGTAATGGTTCCAGAAATGTATAAAGTTGCATAAACTTTATTTAATCCATTTTTATTTTCTGCATTTCTGTAAAATGATGTGCAGTTAGTGTAAGAGATATCAGTGCAGAGAGTAGAATTGGAGAGTTCAAATTCTGGGTTAGTCTGTAGCATTCACTTTCACACAAATGATCTTGGGAAATCCATATGGATCTGTTCTTTTCCCTGCCACCAGCTGTATAAAAGAAGAGACTAGGCTCTCTAGACTTGAAGAGCAATCAGTCAGAAGAATTTTGAAACCATTGAGAAGGCAATGGAAAAATACTCCACTATATTTCCCAAGAATGAATGACAATTCAGATAATAAAAATGTGTACAGTAAAGGCCAGTACAAGGGTCTCATGCCCCCTCCCCAAATCTATGATATAGGGCCCCCAAATTTACTACATTTCAATTTTCATAAGGTAGTGTTCATATAAAATACAAATTTTATTGTAGCCTAATTATGTACAATAGTGGATCTTATGAAATATAGGTGAACAACAATTCAACTCAAAAAATTGAAAATAAATACAAATTATATATATATGTATCTAAATACAAATTATATATATATATATATATATATATATATATATATATATATATATATGGTGATTGTCACTTCTTGAAGAAGACCATCTCCACAACAAATTTATTTCATTCTTTTTTTTTTTTTATAACTTTCAGACTCACTGATCAGGAGAGTGCAGATGACTTTTTAAATCAGCATTAATTTTACAAGCTTTTGCACAAATGTTGCACCTGAAAGGGATATCCCTAAGCTCAACAGGCATGGAATCAATGTGAATTTTGATGTGTCTTGCTAATCCAGAAGCTGACTTGCATACTTTATGACGGAGTGTACAAGAAGGTACAAGGAGTGATTTCTGGCTTCTTTCAATGGATCGAGCCTGATGAGAACAAAGTTGACTTTGAAGACCTGCCTTTGAAAGAGAAAAATTACCACATAAACTACATACATGCTGTAAGATTACCTTTAGGAAGATTGCACTTAACCTTAGCATGTTCCACCTTGTCCTTTTCAAACTGGTTACAACCTTAATGAACTGTCATTCTCCATGAAGGTTGACATTCGGCCTCCAGTTCCCATGTATCAACTGATATCCCAAGAGCTTTGAGATTGGTTTTGATGCAATCTTTAAAGCACTTTCTAAGTTTGTGTCTTGGATGCTTGCCTGCAGATAGTTATATATATATATATATATATATATATATATTTATACATACACAAGTAGGTAGAAAAAAGACAATGCACTACTGGGGCCTCCAGTTAGGTAACCCCCCACCCACTTGGTCAGAGGGTATGGGAGTAGTATGAACCGACCATGTGTAGAGTTATGATCCAGTTTTATGTTAACTCAAATTTAAAACCAATTTTTTCAACTGTCAAGTTAATCCCTTTAAAGCAGTTATAATGATATAGGATTATGCTTATCAGATATGGTATCAGAATATTGACTCAAGAATATCTGGTTTTGGACATTTCCATGGCAACTGGATGCAATAAGATTAGGTCAATTACAAGAATTAGAAAATCAACAGCTAATTTTAAAGTATATTGCCACAAAATAGAATGACCATGTTTCAGAGACTGATTCTATGGTAATGGCAATATTAGCTATTTCCTTACAAGGAAACATTCAGCATTCAATAAATGATCAAGCAGTGTTACATTCAGTTAAAATTTAAAAAATCTTTTAAAACAATTTTTTCAGAAAATGGGTTTTTCAAATACTGGATTTGAAAAACCCATTTTATTATATTAATACTGTTACCATATATGTTCTGGTGGCCCCACTGTTCATCTTGATGTTCTCAACAAGATCCAAAGACAGATGTGCAATGTGACCAGCTGACTTCTCACCAACATAATGTGGCTTCCCTCTGTCTTTTCTATAAATATTTTAATGGTATCTGCTCTGACGAGCTATTTTCACTAGTATCCTGACTGCATATATTTGCATATATTTAAGCATGCTACTAGCTTGGCATCTCGGTCCCACCTTTTTACTGCCGAAACAGTTAAATGTAACCACTGGCTATACTTCAACAGTGTCTTCTCTTGCACTTCCTGACAGTGGAACTCCCTTCCTCTTATTTGCTTCCCTGATAACTATAATCTTCAAAGATTTAAATGTAATGTCAATTGACATCTTCTGATGCCTTGATCCCTGTTCTTCTTTTTATTCTTCTCCATTGTTCTTTTTATCCTTTCTTTAATCCCCTCCCAGTCTTTTCCTTTACTTTCACTCTCTGTAGCCCTTTGCATACTAATGGCAGTCCAGCCTTACTTGGGGTGAAATGCTTTAAAAAAAAATCTAAAATTCAAAGGAATACCAAATTAAAAATAAGGATAAAAATAGGATAAAATAAGCTCAAACAGCCCTTACATGTTACTTTGTAAATAAGAACATTTTATATTATGTTTACCTTCTAAATCTCTCCATTGGTAAAATGGCAAAAGTAAATGAATCCTCATTAGGTCTTTAAAAAACATAATTAGATAATATGTTCACTTATATACTGAAGGAAAAGTAATTGCTTTAATATGATAAGTTATGTCCTATGCTCGTCCATATGTAACAATATTCTATTATAAACAGAATGTCAATTAAATACTGTGTCCTTCCATGTGTTGCTTTAGTTTTAACCAAAATGACAATTAGTTTTTAACCAAAATGACAATTACATATTATGTCCACCCATGTACTGTGTAGTGTTATATAACTTTGGTATATATATTTCATTATAACCTGTATGCCAATTACATATTAGCCGTTTTAACCCATGAAAATTTCATGGTTTTCCTATTTTAATATTCTGATGAATCTTAATTTTTAAGTTAATGATTGAATAAGGTTATGGTAAATTCTACAACAATAAAATAAATATCTGTAGAAATTCTCTTATGGCATTGTTAAATATTTGAATAAATATTAACTTAACAACTTTATCAAAATATTGCAATAACAATCATAAATATGAATGCTAGTTGTTATTTTAAGAAGTAGGCAGAAATGTAAAGATCTGAAATTGAAAACTTTTTCCATTTCACTGAAACAGCCGTTAAACATTTCTATTTTCCATTTCACTGAAACAGCCGTTAAACACTTCTATTTTTGCTTCTTTTTTCCTTTCATTCAAGTAGTGTCTCCCCACTTCCTATTTGAGAAATCAAAACAGAATAGCCCATGATTTATGAGGTATTGGCAGGCAACATTAAACACTTCTATCTTACCTTCTTTTTTTCTTTTTCTTTCTTTCATTTTCTCACTGAAACCAAGTAGTGTCTTTTCCCCTTTTTCCATGTGATTGCCTATTATTCATGAGGTATTAGCAAGGCATAATGGTTGTGTAAATGAACAAAGTGAAGAACAAGCACAATTATAATAGGATGTCTATCCATGAAATATTAAGTTTTTATTTTATTTAAGTATACCAAGAATGACTATTACATATTGTATCCTATGTGCTTGGGTAAGCATTATATGTATTTATGCTATGTTCAAGCATATTTAGAATGATCATTAGTGTTGTGTGATCATTAATGGCATGTGATCATTACTGTTATGCGATTATTAGTGTTATGTGATCATTAATGTCATGTGACCATAAGGTTCATGTGATCATTAGTGTTATGCAATCATTAGGGTTATGTGATAGGAATCTAAAAGCTATTTGACCTTTGACCATACATAAAAGTTATTGTGCCATTCAAGTTCATAAAAGTAGGACTATGTAAATCTAAAAAATATTTTGACCATTCTAGAGGAAGTGTGGAACAAACAATTAAGAGAAAAGCAATGAATAACAACACAAAAATTGCAATATAAGCTCTGGTAAAAAATATGCAATAATAATCATAGAAAAATTCCAATATGAGCACTGGTAAAACGGTTGCTGAGACATTAGGTTTATTAACCCCAGAAATTCATACACAGATGTCCTCAAGGACACATGGATAAAGGCATTGATTAGATCCAGTGACTAGACCCAAAGGGTTGTGAGTTCAGTACCAGGCAGTGGAGAACCAAAAACCTTGGAGAGTTGAGTTAAAGGGAAATAACTGAGACATCTGGAAGAGGCACATGGAACTAGAACAATCTATCCTGGTGGACAAAATAAAGTGTTTGGTTCGAAATTCGAATCACCTGAAGAAGGTCTGAGCGTACAAGAGCCAAAATGTGAATATGGTAACGAAGATGAAGATAACAATATATAATAATGTAACTAAACATCATTCTGAAATGATATTGATACAGATAAAGAAACATAAAAAAAGCATTCATGATAGCTATTTTTTCTTTACAAAATTGGGAAGACTGTCCAGGTGTGATATGGAAAAACAGGTGCAGGTGTCTGTAATATGTTCAGGTGATAAAATACAAGTCTCAAAGGTAAGGCAGTTCTTAAAAGAAGGCTTATTAACGTTGACACTTGTGTCTCTGTAAGTAAAATAACTTTTATGCATTCAAAGAATCATATTTTACTTCATCTGATGCACATTGAGGCTATTGAATATCGGGTGGACCAAACGCCATAAATTCTAT